CCCCTTTTTTTTTTTTTAAAGATTTTATTTATTTATTTGTGCTGTGACTTTCTTCCCCGTGACGCACTCTGTACCCAGAAGCCTGGGCCTCCCGCCCCTCTGGCAACTGTGCTAGTCTGTCCTCTGGATTTCTGGGTTTGTTTCTGTTTTTGTTTGTTCATATGCTTTATTATTTAGATTCCACATATAAGTTGTCATGTGGTTTTTATCTTTCTCTTTTCATTCAGCATAATACTCTCTAGGTGCCTCCATCTTGTTGCAAATGGCAAGATCCCATTCTTCTTTGTCTTTTGCCCCCAACTTCTAAGAGGTAATCTACATTATACCTGACAGGAATGTCTTTGTTTTGGGTGAAGCTGGCCATCCCCAACCAGTCCTACTTAGGGTGGGAACTGGCTACACCAAGAAGACCAACCAGGTGATTCAGGGTGGGTGCTTTGGGTCATGGGGTATCAACTAGCCTGGGTACTGAGATTAACATGTAGACAATGAGTCAGTCATGTCTGGACGATCAGTCATTCAATCAATCAACCGTGCCTATGTGCTGAAGCCCCAGTGGAAACTCTGGACCTCAAAGCTCACGTGAGCTTCCCTAGTTGGCGATACTCTATGCATACTGTCCTGTCATGATGCCGACAGAACACCCAGTCCTAACTCCAGGGGACAGGACACTGGAAGCTCCATGTTGGGGACACTCCTGGACGTTAGCTTATGTGCTTGTTTCCCTGGCTGGTTAATCTGCATCCTCTCCCTGTAATTACCTGGAACTGTGAGTAGAATGGCTCTCAGTGAGTTCTAGGAATCCTTCGAGCCCTGAAGGTGGTTTCAGGAAAGTCCTGAACATGGCTTTGGGTGTCAGAACTGAGGGCGATCTCGTGTGGATACTGTGCCCCTAAACCTCTCAGTCTGGCTAACTCTGGGCAGGTGCACTGTGATCCTGGACCTGAGATGGGGTGCATTTAGGGTGCTTGGTCTGACGCTGAGCAACATCCCACCCCCTCCAGCCACACCATCCAGGGTGAAGAGGGGCTGCACATTCAAACCTGAACCTCTCCTGGCCTCTAGGTAGGGTGAGGTTGGTCAAAACATGGCAGATGGACAGGGTGGAGAAGCAAAGGCCCAGGCAACATTCAGCACCCTGCGCCCAGAAAAACTCACTGCAGAAATACATGCAGAATATTGATGTAAGAGTCAAGGATCATGAAATGTTCAAAGAAATCCTTACAAGACAATGAATAACACTTCAGATACACTGTCAGTAGAGAAATCAGGCTACCAAAACAGGATACAACAACACACTTGTAAAAGTCTACATACGAACATATGTGTATATGTATATATACACACAGGACGCATGTATATAGGATACATGTGTGTGTATATATAGAGAGAGAGAAGAGACACATACAGACGGAAGCAAACCACAACATCAACAGATAGATAGATCCCTTGTGCAGAAAGAGTAACGAGCAGGTTTGAAACTGCCTGCAAGACTGGCCCTTAGCTGGACTTCCAGAAGGTCCCCGCTGTTCCCTAATTGACAGGAGTGGCTCACTGCTCTTCAACTGTTTGTATAAAAGATGTGGTTTATACTGAGCCCTTGCTTTCCTCTGGGAGTCTGGAATTTTGGTATGTGCCAGAGAGAGGGTGTCTCTGTGACTGCCCCCTGATAAAAACCCTGGCCTCCTTGGCCCAGATGAGCTTCCCTGGTGGACAAGGCTTCGCATGTGTTGCTGTAACTTGCTGCTGGAGGAATTAAGCATGTCCTGTGTGACTGCACTGGGAAAGTGCCCTGGGAAGCGTGTGCCTGGCTTCCTCCCGATGTCGTCCGTCCTCTGCGGCTCTCCCTCTCCTGCTGACGGTGCTGTGTGTCACCGTAATAAATCCTGGCCTGGAATAGGACTATGTGGTGAATGCTGTGAGTCCACCCAGACAATCACAGAAGCTGGTGGTGGTCCTGGTGATTCTGACACACCCTCTGACCTTGATTTTCTTTTTTAAATGCACCTCACTGGGTGTGTAACAAGAGCCAGGCTTTGGCCTGACATATGTATGTATGTGCGTTTATTTCTTTTCAATTCATAAATGACAGACTCTCAGAGAAACTTCTCTTTAAACAGTTTCCTTTTGAGGTACCTTTGCATTATTTTATGCACAACTTTTGTTTCCTTTTGCTTAATACCTAAGCCAACTCTCTGATGTCTACCTATACCCACATATGTCGGGGCACTGACTGGAAAAATGACTAAGATTCCAAGGGACGACCTGTACATACTGACTGCTATCTTGGTGGGAGGGTGAGCTTGACTTCTGAGCTTGTCCTTCCAGTCACGGTGCCCTGTGGAATTCTAAACCACCTGACTCTGTTAGTCTTCACTTTGCGTCAACGTCATTAGAGAAAACATGTACGGTATAGAACTTAGAAAACAAATTCCATGTATGCCACACAGAGCCCATGTGTTCAGAATTGTCTGGTCATGACCTGGCAACAGTGGCCACAGTAAGAACGATGTCCCCTTCCCAGCACTTCTCAGGGCACAATCACCTAGAGGTCTCCACAGGCCTTGACTGCAGGCTGCCCTGGGCTTCCATCCAGTTTCCCTTTCTGGCTGGCTCATAAGCAATGTGCAGGTAACAATGTCCTCTTAGTCATCTGCTGTTCCAAGTACTCCTATCATATTGTAAGCACTGAACAGAAATATAGTTTTGAAGCGACATTCTACTTTTTGAAACTTACCCCAAGGGAATAGGTACAGTAGTGCACAAATACATATACCAGAATGTTCAAGGGCTAGGTTCCAAAAAAGTTTTTGAGGTAAGCGTAGATTCACATGCAGTTGTAAGAAATAATACAGCGGGATCCTGTACCCTTTACCCAGTTACCCCAATGGTAATACATCACAAATCTGTAGTACAATATAACCACCAGGACATTGATACTGATGTAATCCATCAATTTTATTCAGATTTTCCAGAGAATCATTTTAAAAAATGAAAAAAAAAAAAAAGTAGAAATATCTCATGGTAGAGGATAAATAAATTATGATCCAATTATGGTCTGCTATAATGGCATCCAATATACTTACTAATAATGATACTGATTTATACTATTTGAGAAAGAAATTTAAGCTGAATTACTAAGTGAAGAAGGTAGCTTTAATAATGTATGCATAATTTGGGAGGAGAGCTCTTTTTTTTTTTTTTTTTTTTAAAGATTTTTTATTTATTTGACAGAGAGATACACAGTGAGAGACGGAACACAAGCAGGGGAAGTAGGAGAGGGAGAAGCAGACTCCCCGCAGAGCGGGGAGCCCGATGTGGAGCTCGATCCCAGGACCCCGGGACCCTGGGACCCTGGGACCATGACCTGAGCCGAAGGCAGACGCCTAACGACCGAGCCACCCAGGCGCCCCAGGGAGGAGAGCTCTTGATCAAAGTAAGAATAAGCCTCTGTGGTCTGACTTTCAGGATTCAGGATGTGAATCTGAGCTCTGACCATTACTAACCTCACACTGTCTGCTCCCCACAGTTAAGACTGGGGTAGAAACAGTACCTGCCAGGTAAGACTGCATCAAACTTTTAGGAAGATAATCTACATAAAATGCAGTAATATTAACAGTTACTTAATACAAGTTAGCAGTTATGACTGAAAATCAGTAACACTACACAACCCTTAATCTGATTTTATAGAAAAAACTCAAGCCTGCCTTTTCCTTTCTTCTTGTGCTTCTCACACCTGCTGTCTATATAATCCACACTAACTAAAAACTTTCAGAGCCTCTTAAAAATGAAATTCTTTTAAATTAACAGTAGCAAAAAAAAAAAAGTTTAAGACATAGAAGGAGGAAATGTTCCTTCTCCACCAGCAGAGAGGGACAGACATGATTCTGCATGGAAAATCCAGCTCAAAGAATGTAAACTGAGGGGCGCCTGGGTGGCTTAGTCAGTTAAGCATCCAACCCTTGGTTTCAGCTCAGGTCCTGATCTCAGGGTTGTGAGATCGAGCCCCCCCATCAGGCTCCATGCTGAGCATGGAGTCTGCTTGAGACTCTCTCTCCCTCTCCCTTTGCCCCTCCCCTGCTCGCACTGTCATAACTAAAATAAAATGAAAAATTAAATTAATTAAATTGAAACAAATAATAAATAAAATAAAATAAACATAAACTGAGAAGATGCCAAATTGAGAACACTAGCAAGCGGCCGGATCTTGTATTCCATGTGATATGGAAGATTTCTTTGAACACTTTAATTAAAAAAAAAAAAAGCAATCTCTATACCCAACATGGGTTCGAACCCATGACTCTGAGATTAAGAGTTGCATGCTCCACTGACTGAGTCAACCAGGTGCCTCTGTTTATGTGAACGTTTTAAACTACTGTCATCTTACTCATATACCTGCCCATGGAAATGTTATAGTACAGTTCATACTTGTAATAAGTCAGTGACTCCTGTCATGTTCTGTGAAAGAAAAGTTAAAATCCCAGAAAATCAAATTTTGAAAGCCTGTCTTTATTGATCATTTATTCATGGGATTAGTTTCAAATGTCTTTCTAATCCTTTAAGGTGTAAACGTGTGAGAGATTTTTTTAAAGCTTGGATTCCTCTATAAACTAAGACTTGGAGAGTGTTTGGCTCAATTATGTGTTGGTTAGCAGGATCCAGTGCTCTGGAGACAAAACCACACACATATGCATGGGGGGAGGGAGGGAAGGACTGGAATCATACATACCAAAATATCAACAGCAATTATCTCTGGATGGTACAGCTATGGGTAATTTCGAGTTTCTTCTTTACGAGCTCCTTAGGAAGCTGAACCTTTTGCTGCAGGCCTATATTAATTCCATGATAAGAAATATAATTTAAGCTAGTCCCAAATTTAAAACAAATCAACAAAGAAAAAGTCCACAGTTATGGGGCAGTGGGTATATTTCGGTCATCAGGGGAACTGTGGATGGATAGGCCTGTGGCAGGCAGGACAACTGCCTCCCAAACACATCTGTATCCTAACCCTGGAGCCTGTGACTATGTTACGTTACATGGCAAAGGGCAGTTAGGTTGCAGGTGGACTTGGGGTCGCTCATCAGCTGACCTCAAGATAGGAAGGTATCCTGAATTATGCCAGGTGGGCCCAAAGTAATTGTGGGGGTCCTTACAAGCAAATGAGGGGGTGAGAAGAGAGAAAGACGTGACCACCAAAGCAGGATCAGACTGACTAGGCTCTAGTAACAGGGCTTCTGAAACACACAGCTGTCACTTGGGGAGACCCAGTCTTTGAAAAATGGGAGTAAGCTCACAGTAGAGAAAACGGACAAACCACCTCAGCCAAACGATCAAGTTCACACTCAGCAATCATAAATCATGCTGACAGTTTGTGTTCTTGCCATGATAGGATAAAAGTAGTGATCTTCCACCCCCAAAACCATAAACCCAGTCCAATCACGAGAAAAGCATCAGGTTCCAAGAGAGGGGCATCCTACCAAATACCTGTACCTCTTAAAACCTTCAAAGTCATCAGAAACAAGGGAAGTCTGAGAAACTGTCACAGCCAAGAGAAGCTTAAGGACACACGACAATGAAATGTAATGTGATCTCCGGGATGGCATCCTGGAACACATGAAGAATGTTACTGTAAAAACTAAGGAAATCTGAATAAAGCGTGGACTTCAGTTAATGACAATGTATCAGAATTGGCTCACCAACTGTAAATAACATCCCATACTAATGTAAGTTGTTAATAATAGGGGACAGTGGGTACAGGGTACCTGGGAATTCTCTGTACTAACTTCGCGATTTTTTTCTGCAAATCTAAAACCATCCTAAACAGTAACAAGATCAATTAAACAAGAAGAATATGGAACCATATGTAGCCCACAAAGCACGAACTATTCAATATATGACCTTTTAGAAACTGCCAAACCCTCTGCTCTAGTTCCAGAACTCACTCAACATCAAACCATGTTGCTTCTTGCAGTTCATACAAAAATGCAACTGAAACAGACTGAAGCTGTCACACTTCCGACAAGATGTGGATAATACAACAGATTTCTACTGATCACTGAAAAAAAAATCCCTGCCTTTAATGACAAAGCCCTTTGCTCAAACCCCACTTTTATTTATTTACTTATCAAAATAATGGCTCAATTCCTTTGAATTTTACTTTTTTTTTTTTTTTTTAAATTTTAAGTAGGCTCCATGGCGAACGTGGGGCTGGAACTCACGACCCCGGGATCAAGAGCTGCACGCTCTAGTGCTCGCTCCAGCAGCACATTTCCTAAGAGCTGCACACTCTACGGACTAGGCCAGCAGGACGGCCCTCAAACCCCACTTTTAAAAGCATCACCAAGCTGGTAACTTTGTCATTTACTGGCCAAAACAATCAAACCTTCTCTGTTCTCACTGTGCTCTGAAAGTCAGGCCGGTGGGCAAGACTGCGGATCCCACCTAAAGACAAGTATCCTCCTGACCAAATCACAGGCTGAAATAAAGCACAACACGAACCTCCCCACCGCATTCTTCTGTTCTGTGTTCTCTGCAGACACCTGCACGGCCCCATCACACCTCTCCGGAAAGAATTAGTCACTGTTGGGGAGAACATTTCAGGCCAAGGAAAGCAAATATTCTCAAGTCCTATAAACACAAGACATTTACTGAACAAAAAAGGTAACTCATCTGAACCTTGACTTTAAGATGCGTAACAAGCGTCTTCCTCTCCAGGATGCTTGTTCCGGAGGACGGCTGGCCTGGGGGAGAGAGGAGGAGACACTAGGGCCTTTCCGGAGAACAAGTTGGATCAGAAAGCACCCTCCAGGCCCACACGTCCTAACTGAAACCCGTCGGAAACGAGGGGGAACAGGGATCTGAGGATCTCAGAGCTTCTGGGGACCAGGCCGCAGGTAAGAGGTGTTCCGAAATAGCAGCAGCCCCCCGCCCGCATCTCCCCTTCCCGTCCTGCTACTCAGGGTGCCCGGAAGGAGAGCGCTTCTCGTCCTGGGTCACCTCAGCGCTGTGCCTGTGCCCTTCCTGCTGGTCACTTTCTCTGCCCTCCCTCGGGGCCACTGCCCCTGCGCCGGCCTGCGCGGCCGGGGTAAGCCGCTGCGACCTCACAGCTGCAGGCTGCACGCTGCCCCCCGGTCCCGCGGCCACCCCCGCAGCGGCGCAGGGGCCCCTCCCACCGCGGGGCAGTCGCCGCCGGGCCGCGCCGCCCCGCCCCCACGCACTCCCCGAAGTGCGTCACAGCCACAGAGCCGCGGCCTGTCCCCTCCCCGGGGTCCCCGGACCCCGACACCCCCGCGCACCCCTGCACTTCTCTCCGGGGCCGCGGGCTCGGGCTTCGCGTCCGGCCTCCTCCCCCGGGGCGCCCTCCTGGCCGCCCTTCCCTCCGCAGAGTGCGTGACTTCCCTCCCAGGAGGCCAGCCACTCACCGCTCGGGGCCCCACGACCCACAGGGCGTGAGGACGGGGCGCAAGGCTTGAGGTCAACTCGGGACCGGGGCCGCGGGATGCTGAGCCCAGACAATCCTCGGCTCAGTAAACCTCTCCCAGCAGGCACCTCGCTACGCTCCGACTCTGGGGACTGGGCGGCGCACGGGCCTCTGGGAAATGTAGTCCAGCAGCCCGGGAATACACGGAGCTGGGCCCCCGGTGGTCCACTTCCCCGGCTTGCAACCCTACACGCCCCGAAGGACCTGTGCCTCACAGACTTCTGGGAAATGTAGTTCAGGGCAAAGAATTGCGTACCGAATGGGAGGCCGGCCCTGCTCCCAACATGCGTTTCCGTCCCTTACATAAGGGTGGCTAGTCATCTGTGTGATGTTACTCATTGCTAAATGGTTGATTTGATTTGATTTTTTTAACGATTTGCGTGGGGGATGGGTTAGCCTGCTGATGGGTATTAAAGAGGGCACGTACTGAATGGAGCACTGGGTGCTACACTCTATGAATCATGGAACACTACATCAAAAACTAATGATGGTGATTAACATAATGTAATAAAATAAAATTAAAAAAATAAAGATTTTATTTAAGAGAGAAAGAATGAGAGAGAGAGTATGAGAGGGGGAAGGGTCAGAGGGAGAAGCAGACTCCCTGCTGAGGGGGGAGCCTGATGGGGGGGCTCAATCCTGAGACTCCAGGATCATGATGTGAGCCCCAGGCAGACGCTTAACTGACTGAGCCACCCAGGCACCCTAAATGGTTGATTTTAGAGTGATTGAGACTTGTCCCTCAGATCATTATTTGATTTATTTAAAAAAGTTTTTCTAATTCTGACATTCCTTCTACATCCATTAACTGAGATTTTTCTATAAAGTAAGGCTTTCCCTTATAAAGGCGAACTTTGTGGTTCCACTCTAGTATTGATCCCTTGTAAAGGCAGCATATTTGTCTCTTTAACACATTCTAGAGAAATCAGTCTTTTT